TAAATTAAGGACTGCCAAATAAGATAAAAGCATTGTGTTTTGTAGTACATACTAATCTCCATAGGGTGTCACAGTTACTTATAAAACCTTAGTTCTACACGGACTAAAGACCACTCATAGACCCCTTTCAGAGGTGTGAAAAGTTTGCATTGTACATTCTTTACCCTCCTTTAAAAGTACAGATACCTGCTAAAAAAAAAAAAGACTTCAGCAAAAGTACAGATTAAACACCTTTACTTAAGTAAAGGTTAACAGATAAAAGATTCAGGTTCTACATTTTATTTAAGTACAAAACCTAAATGAAGCTTTTGCCTTAAATTATACAAATAACTTTGAAAAACTATTATTTAAAAGACATTTATATGCAAATGAAATGGCATAATTTCTTCTTCAAACAGAGCAAAGAAAGTTGTTCTCTCTAGTTTTTAAAAATGTCAATTAGGATAATATTGATTGAACTGAACTGAATTCCAGCAAAAGAATTTGAACACATTTAGAATTGATTTTTACAGCATTAAAAGTGAAATAGAACTTAAATATATTTAATACATAAATGTTAAATCTACTAATTTAGATTTAAATCTGATTTATCTTTTTGAATGTTTTCCAGCTCACTTTTTTCACCAGTTTTTCTATAAACAAACTGTGCTCCAACTGGACAGATGCTCTTCACACTCTTGAGTTACCCTGGTTTGTTGCAGCTGTTAAAAAGCAGATAGTTAGTCTTGACAAAGTAAGGATTAGAAAGTACAGATATTTTTTTGTAATATTAAGTACAAGTCATAAGTGACTCAAGTAAATAGAAACATAAAAAGCTACTTTAGCACAGCAGCTAAGTATTTATAATAAATTACTTGATACCTTTGGACACTTTTAATAGGTGTGCCTAGTTAAGGTTAGGGTTGGACCCCTTTTTTTTCTAAATAACTGTCCTAAATCTTTATTGTTAAGGTCCAACGTTGTGTTGCATTATGCATTTGAAGGTTTAATGACTGTCCATGATGCGAGTCTCCTGTTCCAACATGTCTGTATTTAAAGCGGTCTGGTGAGCATGGAGATCACTACTGGAAATCAATTTTTAGTCATTTTCAATAAGGTTGATTATAGATGTTGAAGCTTGGCTTGTTTTTTAGTGTAGTCCTGTTTCTCTGACTGTAACTAACTGGATGTGCTCTCTTCATCCTCTGACGTAGAAGCTGGCTTGGAGCTTGTCTTCCTGGCTGTGTCTTTCCTGGCTGGGGCCGCCTGTGGAGCTGGTTTACAGTTGCCTTTTGTATCTATGCTTCTTTCTGTACATCTGCTTCTGTCTCCTTGAACCCCAGTCGGCCTCGGCAGTTGGCCGCTTACACTAAGCCTGGTTCTGCTGGAGGTTTCTTCCTGTTAAAAGGGAGTTTTCCTCTCCACTGTCAGTACATGCATGTTCAGTGCAAAGGATTGCATAGAGTCAATGAGTCGATGCAATCAACTGGTTTTATTTAGATAGAAAACTTTGAACCTGCCTGACTGTATGATCTGTTTGAATTGTCTCTGTAAAGGGCCTTGAGATGATATATTGGCATCATCACCGATATAAAGTTTGCATGACCTCCCTCCTCCCTATGTGGGTTCTCTTTGAGTTCATTTAAAAGCATGTGTTACAGTATTTTCTTAGTATTATTTCCAAGTTTAAATAACTCTTAGTAAAATATAGAAATGATCATTTCAGATTGATTCAACTGATGGGAACAGCAGTATTTGAGTACAATGGACATTTGTCTGTGTAAAAATAATCCTTCTTATATCATACAATTAACCAATTAGGCTTTCTGTTTTGTCTCATTCATTGATGTCTGGGAAAACACACTCTCAGGGCATTGCTCCATTTACTGTTTGGCTCTCGAAGATACTTTAGGTCACCTTCTTTATTTTTCATGGCCGTTAAGCTTTACAAATGTGAGACTCATGTTTCGTCCCACATGGTTTAGTCATTGACCTCTGGAGCAAGCACCCCGCAGCAGGGCATTTACTTTGCATTTACCTGTCATAAATCTTTATGTTTTTCAGTCATTACTTGCCCTCTCTGTGTCCCTGGACACTCTTCTGCAATCACAAAATGATTTGTGTTGCATAAGGCAACACAAATCATATCCAAAGAGACTGTGTGAAAAAACATATGTGTGGAAGTAACTCTAAAACTCATTGTATTATCATACTTAATATATTGAAAGACATTTCTAAAAATACTAAATTATCAAACTTAAAATAACATAAATATTGTTTAATATTTATTTTAATTTTTTAGTAGTTTATGGTGTTATTTATCACAATGTAAAGAAAAGTACAGTGAAACAGTTTTCTTAGTTTATTAATACTTGGTTGAAGACATACTTGTGAATATAGGTGTAGATATACAGTAGGTGTAACACTTTTTCTATCTGTTTTTACTTTGGGTTTGAACAGGTCAGACTTTAAACACAATTTTAGAGGTTGCCTGAGATTTTCATTTTGTTGTTCTCCTCAAATGTTTCCTAAAAAATGTTTTAACCATATATTCCCTGGCTCTAAGTGTGTATACAGGAACTTGGAAAAATTTTTCATAAACCTTGAACACTTTTAGATTTTATCATGTAATAAGAAAACTCCAATGAGTTTTTTTGTTGGGTTTTTATAAGACAGATCAAACTTCATTTTTAAGCTGAAACGGAAAAAAACACAGTTTCCTCAATGTGAAATGTATGACATTAAAACTTTGTAGAACCACCTTTTATATCTACTCTTGCACTTCTTTTTGTCTCCAAAAGCTTTGAAAAAAAACAAAACATTTTGCTTTCGTCCTGGAAAAATGAAGTGGGTCCAATATTATCAAATTGTCCATCCAACCATTTTCTGACACACTTATCCCTAATGGGGTCATGAGGTGTGCTGGTGCCTATCACCAGCTGTCTACAGGTGAGAGGCAGGGTGTACTCTGGAGAGGTTGCCAGTCTATCGCCCAACAAACAACCATTCAGATACACACACTCACACCGAAGGAGAATTTAGAGAAGCCAATTAACTTGGACTTGGAGCCAGAGTACTCGGAGAGAACCCACACATGCTCAGGGAGAACATGCAAACTCCATGCAGAAAGATCCTGGGCCGAGAATCGAACCCACAACCTTCTTGCTGCAAGGCAGTAGTGCTACCCACTGAGCAGTCCCTATCAAATTGTCAAATCTAGAAAAAAAAAAAAAAAAAAAAAAAAAAAAAAAAAAAAATATATATATATATATATATATATATATATATATATATATATATATATATATATATATATATATATATATATATATATATATATATATATATATATATATATATATATCTCATTCAATTTACATTTTGTATTTAAGTCGAACATTCAACTCGAGAAGAGGCCTGAAAATCATTCTATTGAATCTCTGGCTTTATGTTTAAGGTTACTGTTTACCAAAAAGTGAAGACTCCACTATTATCTCCATCTTTTAATCAACTCTGACCTCCCCCACAGCATGATGCTGCCAATGCAAATGCCAATGCTGCCAATGTTGTTTTTGCACTTTTACTTTATACTTTGTTCCGCTTCCATACAAGTTGTAGCTTCTTAAAGAAACTATTTGATTGAAATGCAGTCTGATGAGTTCCAGGTGACTTTACCCTCCAGAGAACATAAACTAAAGTGCAGAGCCTGCTGTCTGTGTGACTGAAAATTAAATTAACATGTGTGCTGACAGTACAGTAACCCAATCCACTGATATGAGACTCAGTGTCTTATGGCTCAGTGGCTTTTGCGTGAGACCCGTCCATTGTTTCACTTAGAGCAGAGGGATGCAGCTTGTCAGCGCCTGGAAGAGTCAGAAGGAAAGAGCAGTCATGCTACAGAGATATTTATAGTTCTACTAAGATTTGCACTACACTGCTGCGTCACAGTGACAGAACTGAGTGGTGGTCTTAGAGCAGCTTTCTCGGGGGTTGAATTTTCATCAAAGGTAGGCTGGATTTGATCTCCTCATGAAACACCCCATGAATTATAAATGACAGCCTCTCTTTAGCCTGACCTTGCCTGAGCCAACTGTCTTTTTATATTCTAAAATTCGAACAGAGGGTATCTGTGGGATATCAGCAAGCAATCAGAAATCAGAGGAGTGGCATACATTGTAAATAGTTTAAATGGCTTAAAAACTCAGCACTAGTCTCAACAGGAGTGCAATTAAATCTCTCAAGCAGACTGAAAATTACAAATCACAAGAACTTCATAATCCAGTTCTGTGTGGTCTGAATTAACTGACTGACAATGTCTCCAGCATATGAAGAAATGTGACTAAAACAGCAGGAAAAACACTCTCTGACTCACTTCACAGACCCAGTAAGATCATGTTATAAAAGATTAATATGCTCTGCATATTTAACTTGGTGTTTTTGCTTCTGTTCAGGTCCCACTCAATGGCATTGTTAAACTTGTTCTGATAGCTAAACTCCTCCCATTTAAAGGGAAGTTAAGCCAACAGAAAACTGTTTCTGTCCTGTTCCGCATTCAGTTATGCTGATTTTCTATCTTACGAATCGGTCAACATTTTTTATGCATTCCAGCTTATTTTTCCATTTAGTAAACATTAGTTAAGAGGCTTGTAAGAGTTCAAACAAACATCTGCTCCTTCAGACTCATTTTTACATCACAACATTAGGGATTTTGATACCGATACAGCAAGAAAAAAAAATAATTAAAAAGCCAAGCTGTTTTTCCATCCTATCATATGACAGACACCGCACAACCATTTTAATCATGATATCAGCAATGCAAATAACCAGCAAGAAGGTGTTGATAACAAGCCAAGATGAGGTGTTAATGAGTGTGCAGCCTTAACGACAAAAACTGACACACGTTTATTCATCACTTTTATAAATAAATCTACGGAAAAGAGAAGCACAAACCCCTGTATCTGCCCAAAAACGCACATGTTTTGTCCCAGGCTGGGGAAGAAGCTCAACCGAAGGAAACATGATGCAGTTTGGGTACATGTTTAATGAAAGGCACTCTTTGCTGGATAAATAAAACATTGCAAATTATGACACTGTACTGTACAAAGTTGACACATACAGTAACAGTCTTCACCCATTCAGTGCTCCATAACATATTAAAGTGCTGATTATTGAAGTGACCTACTAATGTCACCTTGTTGCAATATACTTTCCTTACAGGTACAGCTTTTTCAGGAGGTGAAAAGCATTTTTCTGTTAGGCCCATTTTTTTAAGGATTATTATAAAGGCATTGACTGAGATACAATTACATTCACTGACATTTCGGTACAAGAGATATTTATATGAACACTCATACACTATGTTCCAGTGAAGAAAATGTTTCATGCATAAATAGTTCATATTCATCTTATCTTGTGCAAAATGCAAGTAATCATTTCTCATTATCTCACAGTCCATGTTTTTATTATCTCTTCATCTCATCCCTTAGTATATTGTTCCTCATAATAGTTTAAAAATATTATTGTAAATTCAGTTGCAATATATACTCACATGTATAAAATTTTCATAAATGATAAAAGGAATGAAATGTCATATCAGTCATTATGCCATGCAATAAAGAATGAGAAATCATCGGCAAATGAAATAAAAATCTTAAATAAAAAACATTTCTTTTTGCTTTTTTGCCTTTACCATTTAGTCTGTTCACAAATGCATATATGTATATAATTTTTTACAATTCTGTACACTTTTACAAACACATTTTCCCTGCTAGCAATGGAGGATGTAAAGCTCCTAAAGTGCTTAAGACATATGTAGAAAAAAGCTTTTAGTGCAAAGAAGTGATGCAATATTAAAGGGTATTTATTTCACATTAGAATATAAATTGTTTCGTTGTTCAAGTTAAAGTCAAATACATCTGCATTGCTGCTTGGTGCCAAACTATAATAAAACGAATAGATTAAAAAAGTAATCTGTGTTTGTGATTATTAAAACCGCTGCATGCAAACCCTTGCATGTATACTGAAGATAAAGCAGTTTTATTTTTAACTTTGCAGGGTATCTACAAGATTAATAGCGGCCATGCGACTTCGCCTGCTATTTATCACACAGATATTGTTACATGGGGAGGTGCCGCTGGCTGTACATTTGCACCTATAGATGTGCTGAGAAGACAATGAGTAAGCCAATGTCCTATTTTACACTACACACACTTGCCTGCCCTTGAACATGCTGCCAAAGCCTATCTGATTTCACTGTATATGATAAAATAACTAGATTACTTCATTTGTTTTTATCTGACAGACAAACCTATTCTACTAAGGTCTTATCAGTTTGCACTTCTTAGGTTATTTTTTCTTACTGCACTTTGTATTCTCAGAGTTACTGAAGCAGTAGTTGCTCAGTTATGTTAATTGCACTTTGACACATCTACATGCAGACAGACAGTTTGTGTACTGTCTGTGCCATCAGTGTCTAATAATACTGTAATCATCTTCATAAGTGTTTCAGGTACAAAAAACGAGTAGATAAATCACTTGTGCCTCACTAACAGATATGTTTTATTTTTAATTCCTGTTTATCTGGCCCCGTATGTTTAAAAAATGAAACATTTTACTCAATGCATGCCATTTTTCTCATTTTGCCAAGTCCCATTACTCTTGTTGAGTGAGAGTGTGCTTCCACTCCTGTTAGCAGCTGACATTTTCTGTGCAGCTTCTGCAGCTGCATCCATCACTTGTTTTTCTTCTTGCTCTGTCTCACGATGGTAGAAATAGTTAAAGTTGGAAACGATGACAGGGACTGGTAGGGCAATGGTCAGAACACCAGCTATGGCACAGAGGGTACCGACCATTTTGCCTCCCATAGTGATCGGACACATGTCTCCATATCCGACAGTGGTCATGGTTACAACAGCCCACCAGAAGCCGTCAGGGATGCTAACAAACTGTGTCTGAGGCTCATCCACTTCTGCAAAGTAGATGGCACTGGAAAAAAGAATGACTCCTATGAATAGGAAGAAAATTAGCAGCCCCAGTTCCCTCATGCTGGCTTTCAGAGTCTGACCCAAAATCTGAAGACCCTTTGAGTGTCGAGACAGCTTGAAAATTCTGAAGACTCTCACAAGTCGAATGATTCTCAAAATTGCCAAGGACATGTTCTGACCTGCGTTCACATCATCATCGGGTGTTGTGGCTAGCTCAGTTCCAAGAGTAACAAAGTAAGGAATTATAGACACAATGTCAATAATATTCATGATGTTATTGAAGAAATCACTTTTACTGGGGCACACCACAAAACGGACACCGAGCTCAAAGCAGAACCATATGATGCAAATAGTCTCAACAATGAAAAATGGGTCTGTGAGATATGTCCACGCAGTTTTTAGGGGCAGGGTAAGAGGGAGAACTGCTTTGAGAGCCATTGATCATTTGGATGAAACCTAGAGGAAAGTCACTGTCCTCCCTGAACTCTGGAAGAGTCTCTAGACAGAAAATAAAGATTGAAATGACAATGACAAAGACAGAGACCAGAGCAACGGACTTAGCTGCGCTGGAGCTCTCTGGGTATTCGAACAGAAGCCAGAACTGCCGCTGCAGTTCATTGGTCGGTAAGAGGACTTCTGGTTCTTTGATGAAGCCTTCATCTTCACGAAACTGTTCCATTGCTTCATGACCCAACTCATAGAAAACAATTTCATTTGCAAAAATATCCAAGGGAACGTTGGCTGGTCTGCGGATTCTCCCACCTGACTGGTAGTAGTAGAGTATTCCGTCAAACGATGGACGATTTCGATCAAAAAAATATTCGTTTCTCATTGGGTCAAAGTAATGTATCCTCTTCATGGGATCACCCAGCAATGTCTCTGGAAACTTACTAAGGGTACTGAGTTGCGTTTCAAACATCAGTCCTGAAACATTAATGACAACTTTCTCATCCTTTTCTTCAAAACAGTGCTTTTCAAAGAGATCTTCATTTTCATAATAATCCTTTAGCATCTTACTGAAGACACTGTCACTGGGGGACTCACTGTTGGCCAGAAGCTTGAGATTTGAGATCAAGCTGCCACTGCTGGAGTTTGCTTTTGAGGTAAGAGTTGGAGGAGTAGAAGGGGACAACCCATCTTGACCAGACTGACGCTGTCGCCGTCCTCTGCGTGGGGACTGGCGAGGAGAAGCAAGTCGATGGGCCAACAGGTTCTGATCAGGAGCCTCTGAGGTGGGTGAGGTCGGGTAACCCGAGTCGCTTGGATCACCGAGGTTGATTCCAACATCATCCATGTTTTCAAAATTCACAAGCGGCACCTCCATTGCCGGCTTTGATGCTAGCTCTGATGGTCAATCTGGTTCCGTAGGTAGAGGAGGCACTTCAGCCAGTGCCACGCTGAGGATGCTACTGCAGCTTCTCTCCACCTGGTTACCATTCAGACTGCTGGAAACTAAATTTTAATGCAGGCTTCTGGTTTATCTGCAAAAAAGTGTTGAAAGCAATCATATTAAAGTAGTGTTAATCGGTTCAATCTAGTCCTGTTGAAAAAATACTTTTCTTTCAGATTCTGTTGCATCAGCAGAGAACCTGCCATCTGATACATTGCATGTACAGGTCTTTTTTTCCTCTTTATTTTCTTTTCAATGACCTAAACGGAAACTGCAACTCCCCAAGATCAGATTCAAAAGTGCTTACATGCTGCATACAGTGCATTATTGCTGATAATGTGCAGCAAAACATTTTTTTCTGTCCACACAACTTATTCTGCATCTTTGACCGATACATTAAGTAATTTTAAATGACACATAGTTTTCTTTCCATATATAATTTCCTTATTAAATTTTCAAAATTTCTATTTTTACACCTTATTATTATCTATGTAATATTATTATTATCTATCATCACAATCCTTCTTAGATTCTGGGTGGGTAATCCGATATTAAAGTTGCCATATAGTTAAGTGGCTGTTTATCATTCCTTCAGTAAAGATTTGACAGGTAACCAAATCCTAACAAACAACACAGGGCTGCAATGCACTTGACACCGAGGGGCCCTTCAAGACTCAAGGTGATTCACATGGCTCTGTTTCCATTCTCAGCTTAGCAGATAGCATGACAGCTGAGGGTATAGAGTTGATTCTTATGTAAGGAAATCATAGATGGCTGTTACAAAAATATTGGAGTTAATTGCCTCATGTTAGTGACCATGGGTCACTAAGTAGCAAGAATACAAGGGATATCACCAAGAACTAAGAAGTAGGCACTAACATCTATAGACCTCAGAAACCTTACTCAGTGCAAAAAGATTTTAAAATCAATTGCTGTTATTTGAAGGTCTGCTGGTATTTATAAGAATAGTTTGCACTCGAAGGACACTTAAAACATAAGTTGTGTCAATGTGACACAACATGCATGCAATGAGGACTCACCCGTGATCCTGGCTCTGCAGAAGTTTCTGTGCCCTCTCTGTCCTGCCTGCCGGCTCCGCTCTGTTCCCCACTTACCTCCCTAACACTCCCTCATCCAAAACTTCCAATCAAGAGCGTCTCTAGCTGTATTAAAGCTCCCACTGAGTAATTTAACACCATGTGCGAAACCAGAGATGTTGAATACACCCTCAGAAACTCACAAACATACACAACTGCTCCCTCACGCTCTCAAAACTGCTAAAAAATAAAGAAAAACACCCACAGAGGTATCTGACCACATTGAATGTGGGGGTCACCTGGTGTTGTTCTCCCTGATCCCTCCTTCGCCAGAGGGGACATTATAGGTGAGCTCTGTGATAGGAGATTTACTCTGCACGAGCCAATCGCTGTTTGATGAGGGAAAGGGAGTGTGGGTCCTAGTAGCTTGCTTCTATACTGCAGACTAAGCATCCACTTGCAGGATCATCCAATCCATTGTCACCTTGGGAATTAAACTTTTTCTTCCTCTTTTATACTACTTCTCAATACTTGCAAGAACATCTGTCTGCCTAGGGGCTTCGGTCTCTTGTTTTATTTGTCCTGATTGGGCACAAGCTGTTGTTTCCTCTGAAATCTGATCTGTTTGAGTAATTTCTTCAAATATTCACAAAAAGATCATAGTGTTCCTCTTGTAACGTAAACCTGTTAAGGTGCGGTTAGACCAATGACAAATTCATACCATCAGTGTTTTCAAGGATAATGTTTAATGTTCTGATTACTTGAAAAAGTTAACAAGGTAAAGCAATTAACTTCTGCAGATTTGTCAGGGTGTTTTAAAGATAGCTTTCCAATCTCCACCGATGTTTTGTCAGATTAATTAAAGTCCTTTAGGTTCTTTCAGGAATTTAATCTTTTCATTAAAGTTTATGTCACGGTTCTTTGGAAGAACGAAGTCCCGAATGTCCTGATACCTGACTGAAAACCGCTGCCCCAATGTTAGATATCATTGCCTAACGCTCCTCCTGCTGCAGCTGGCTGTCTGCTGGTCCCCTGTAACACTGCAGCATAAGAAGGACCGCTGCAGGCGACCTCAGGCACACTGCTTCAAGGTCACAGAAAACTTTGCAGTCTCTGCTTTTTCACATCAGTCACCATACATGATCCTGACATCATTATGTGGTCTCGCTGCAATATCATGCATCTATAAACATAAATTTCAATTTACTGCTCTAGGCACTGACACAGAGAATGCCATGCATATGAACAGATGCAGTGATGTGCATATGCTCAGACAAGCACTAACTGCTGACTCAACATCCCTCACATGTAGACACCTCTCTTTATAGGCTCCTGCATTGCCCGGCATTTGTCATTGAGAACACAAGCAAGCTGAGGGACAACCTCCTTAAACCCTTTATTATTGAAATTGCCACATCCAAAGTGAGACAGAGAGGACCACAGACTACACCAGTTAAATCGAGAGTAAATAATCACTCCCTTATTCAGGATGATTTGTGACAATGAAAGTGGGAAAAAAAAAGGTTTATATATGAAATAGAAACTCAAGGGTGATGGGTCAGAAGTTACTGCATTGTGAGGTGTCTCAGGGGAACTGTGACATACTGTGGGATTAACACCCCTCCTTCCATCCATCATCCACTCCTCCGCCCTTCCTGATGACACTATCACCTTACCGATAAACAATCTGTGTTGACAAAGCAATTCTCCATCAGAAGGTTTATACACTACTGCTGCATAGTTGGAGTACCTTCAGCACACCTTTACAGAAGTTTGACTTTCAGACACATCTGCTAAAATGGTGACCTCTGCCCACAAAAGGAATATCATTACATTGAGGAGAATGCTCCTTATCCACCCCTGCCCAGACCCCCCAAAACACCCCCCCCCCCAAAAAAAAAAAATGTGGAACATTCCATTGTTATAATTTCAATTAGTAATTACAATGCTTTTAGTTAGGCTAGGAACAAAGCAGAAAAGTGTAGTAAAGCTTTCCATAACATTTACTTAGAAGGTTTCTTGACATAGTCTCAGTGTGCCATTAGAAGTAGATCTAAGGGGTTAGTTGTTGTTCCAAAAAAGATGAAGAATGAATCAATGTAGAGCTTACTGATATGGACGTGATTGGAGTTCCAGGGGGAGGTGAGTCTAAACCCATAGCTGGTTGGTATGTATTTGGAGACCGGAAGTGAAGGGATGTGTGGTCCTACAGTCCTTCCGAAGTGGAGCTGAGCAGTGGTGACACATAGGAGCGTGGACAGCAGGTACAAGGAGGAGGGGTTAAAGATTTGGGACTAAGACCCCGTCCACACGAAGTCAAAACGAACACGAAACGCTAATATTTTCCAGAACGTTTGTCGTAAAGACGGAGACGTAAAATAAATGTGATCGTCCACACCAATGCATGAAAACGCTGCAAAATGTATGCCAGGCCTGTAAGTGGCGCTGTGGTGCCAAAGCAAAAATAGGCGACGAAATGTTGGGCATGCGCACTAATATTTATACATGGTTGCCCTGCGGGTCCATTTTCGTGGTTCAGTCAAATTCAGGTGCTGAACTATGTCGTCGATATAGCTCTGTTCTTCCTGGAGATATTCCAGAAGAAGAAGATTCTGTTGTAAGCCCGACAGCAGGGTGAGTAGCATAAGCAGCAACCATTCACCACAGTATGGCGCCATTGTTGTTGTGATACTGTGTCGCGCATGCGTGTTTAGAGGCGACGCTATGACGCATGCGTGTAATAAAAAAATGCGGTTAGAGCTTAAAGATGGAAACGCGAAAACGGCGTTTCAAAATCTTCCCACTCTGAAGGCTGAATAAAAAAAAGATCGTTTACAGACCCCCGAAACGCCGGCTTCGTATGGATGAGAGGCTGGTTTGGTGAAAAATTTGTGCGTTTAGGCCAGGGTTTGACTTCGTGTGGACGGGGCCTAAGAGGTCGAAGTAGGAGTTCTCCACACACCTTAAGACCCAGGAAGCGCCTCACAGAAGACAAACCTTGGATATGACAGGCAAATCTGGTGTTCTGTTGGAAGAGAAACGGTAGTTTAGAAACAAAACTTGAAGAAGCAAGGGACATAAAAAAAAACTGATTTCCACTTCTGTTACCAAAGATCTGGACTGTTTGTCAGAGAGCCAACCCCTCTCTAAGCTTCTGATGAACCTTAACAAGCTGCAGCAGCAGAGCCTGAACCTCCTGGTTGTATCCTGGAATCAAGGAGAGAAAAACACCAAAACAACAGATCTGTGGATATGATAGTTAAGTCTGTTATTTAAAAAAAAATTTATGATTAGTAAAATCTTTAATAGGTTTTTAATATAAATATATGCTTTATTTGTTTGTAGTGATTTTTCCTTCAGTTCTTTAATCCTGTGATTATGGCTGTGTTTCCTTTTGCATGTCTTCTGTTCTATTTTACATACTCATACCTAACGAGAGCTAATTACATGTACACAACCCATTCTTTCTATTCATAGGAAAATAAAGAGGCAATGGATTGTAAGGTAAGTTAAGGCAAGAAGACGCAGAACTACCCCACCCATCCACTGAACCTGGGAAACTGGATGACCTACAGTATAAGCAAGAAATAATGGTTAAAAAATGTTATGGGTTAAAAATATCAATTTAACAAATCAAATTAAGTCATGTTTGCAAGGCATATGGTTGAGTATTTTTGTAATTTTTTTGCAGATTTGAGTCTGCAAAAGCTGCTAAGATTCTGAAAACAGGGATGTTTTTATAGAGAATTTTTTAAAAACAAGCCCTTCTTAAATTGTCACCAGGTTAAAAGTAGCTAAAAGCTAAACTATTTATCCTGGTACATGACCTGGGTAATTCCATCTCAAAAGCCCATGCGCTCATCTATTAAGGATGACAAGATTTCAAAGTGCATGTAAGGTATCGCAGATTGGAAATTCCAGGCTCGTAATCCTATAGCTGTCTGTAAAAGCAGCTGGTTATTCCAGTCTAGTAATCCTATATATCGCTCCAGCGGTTTTCTTCATTTCAAATTACTTAATCTTTGAGTTAGGAAAAAATATGGATGTAAGAACTTGCTATTTAAAACAATCCCACCCAGCTTAACAATGCGTAACAATCCAAAAAGATATGGATTTAACTGTCTGTGGAATTATGGTCATAAATAGGTCTCAAGGTCACAGTGCTAGCATTTCATTATAACAATTATTGATATATCTGTTTAATTATTAAAGGCTGAAAACATCTCTCATTGTAAACTCAATAAATAATCTAAAACAGGCCAACAGACCATACAGTCTAAAACCATAATAAAACAGAAATAGACTCATATATCAGTTAATTCAAGGAGATAATTTTTACAGGTGCCATATTACTGAGTGGTTTAGACCTTTGCTCCATTTTTTTCTTTCTCTCTTCTCCTACGTATCACTATGACAAAAAGGCTGTAAAGCTTGGGGAGAGAAATGTTGTACTCAAATGAGTAAGACAAGGTATAACCCCAGTGAGTCATTGGGAAAGAAAAAAAAAACATCTCCCATATTTCAATGTCTTTCCTGCATTGTTACGGTAAAACATATTGCAGTTTGGACACAAATTTCTCATTGAGATATATATTTTTTTCTCTTGCTCTATCTACTAATTATGTTATAGTCGAAAGAAAGAAAGAAATAAAGAAAGAAAGAAAGAAAGAAAGAAAGAAAGAAAGAAAGAAAGAAAGAAAGAAAGAAAGAAAGAAAGAAAGAAAGAAAGAAAGAAAGAAAGAAAGAAAGAAAGAAAGAAAGAAATTGTCATCATTATACCACTAATAATCTACAGTTCTAAGCTAGAAATGCCTAGATATAAATCTACAATAAAAAAGTAATCACAATTTCTTTTACTAAAAAGCTAAAGTAAGGGATTATGTTTAGATTTTCATTTAATAGAGCACTGAGTGAATAGAATTTAAGAGAGATTTTACATTTGTCTTATTAATTAATAATTGCATCTAAAGAAGTCCTCAGAATTTTTAAGCTAGTTATTTGATGCATTTTACAGAGCCAAAGAAAACATGTAATAACTTGTATGAAAGTAAAAATCAAATGTTTACCAAACTTTTTTTCTTTTTGACATAGTGAGAAATAAGTAAGCATGACTGTGAAAGTAGAAAAGAAAACTAAAACACTAAATACAAAAAAAAAGCTTTTATCTGGTGAAAATACCATAAATACCATTGGGAATCTAATATGTTTTGAACAAAGTTAACAGAACTGCATGACACTGAAATTATAGAGTTTGTTTGCTTTTAATGTATAATGTGAAAAAAAAGTTTGTTTGAATAATATACAATGTGAAGCATGATAGTTTAAAGTAATTTTTGCTTAAAACATCAGTTTAAACAATATGTGGCTACAGGGTCTGAAAGGTGTAAATAAATCATTGAAAAAGAACTGATCAGAGATCAGCATGCCCATTACCCACTTTCAGCTGCATTATACACAGTTCCATTCCTTGGTAATACTCCACCTTGCAGGTTGAGAGCCCATGTAAAGGAATCACCATCAGTTCTTGAACTGGTTCTGGTACCATAAGGGTTAACCCAATATCATCTCCCTGGAATGGCTAGAGGGTTGCCTGGATCTTCCCCATCTGGATGGACTTCACAAAAAAGCAAATCCTTCCCGCATCAACATTTTCACAGCAGCTTAAGTGAGTTTCTCCCATTAGGAGGAGTTCTGTCATTCTGGATGATCTGTTTCAGAGCCATCATGGCTGCTCCACATCAAAAGAAGTTTGCTGAGGTGGTGTGAGCATTTAGACAGGATGCCGTCTTTGGCACTTCTCTTCGAATGTTTTTCCAGGAATGAACTATGGAAACCACATCTGGAAAGATCCCAAAGTAGCAGGTTGAATCAAATGCCCAATTCCTACACTATAACAACTTGAGATACCCAAAATGGTCTAGAGAATTTTGTGGAGAGGAGAGATTTATTATTTCCAGGCCTATTTGACTCTATTCTTTAGGAGATGAAAGTCTTCACCTTAAACACTTGCGTTTTGAACCAAATGTTAAAAAGAAAGGCCTAATCCCTTTTCAACAAATACAGGAAATGTGTAATTAGATTTTTTATAAATCCAATGTGACTAAAGTATTCAGATGTTTGTTATCTTTAGACGTATAATGCCTCGATTTTGGTCTCAATCTGGTATTGCAATGATTGAGCCGTTTGTGCTAGATAGGGTGACTGCTTTGCTAAGGAGATTATATAACACAGGAAATCAGCCCCGCAGATCACCCACATGGATATATACCGGTATGTCTCTAACCTAATCATCAGATTTAACAGAAATTTATGATTTGCTTTTCTCCTCATAAACTAAAGACAATAATCTGGGTTGATAAGGCAAAGGGAGATGAGCTTTCACAACAAACCAATGAACCAAACAAACCTAAACCAGAATCAAAAATTAAGAACACTTCCAAAGATATGATATACTTCTAACACTTCTAACACATTGTTTAGCTATAATACCTGTCCTCTAGGTTACAAGCATCCTGTCATGGTGAATGCACCATACAAACCACTGCTTACCCTTGGAGAGAGAGTTTCTATGGCTGCAGATGTTACATTTATTTAAAACCTCTTGACTTAAACCCAGCCACATCCAAATAATTATTTTAGCCCTGTCACAAAACAAACAACAACAAAATGATAAAAAGCAACCATATAATCTTCAGAAATTGTAAAGGTCAAACAGAATGACACAATGTATCATAAAAAAAAAAGTACACATATAAAACATTAAAATATATGCAAAATAAGCTCCTATGGGTCTACCATTGCCAGACAAGGAAAACAATTTACCTCATTGAGCAGTCGTGACAGAAGCTTGGCACCAGCCGCTCCCCCAGCCTCTCGGATTAATTTAGTGACCAGGCGATGGCAGAGTCTTAAGGAGCGGTGGCAAATCTCTTTTAAAGGAGTTGTTTTGGCAGGAGGCAGGCCAGTTACAGTTAAACGCACCACAGGACAGATGGTTTTTACCACCAAAAGGTTCCGGTCACTTAGATAAGTCTCAGTTAACACGCAAACAAAACAAGTCCTATCAGTGCTAATGTGTGGCATTGACTTTTTTGCATGCTTTACAGCAGGACATGCACCTTCGGCCATTATGACATTGTCACAACACAAACAAGGGAAGTTTTTATGGCAACTGCTGATTAGGAGTGATCTGTCCTTTGCCAGGTTAATGGACTACAAAGTGCACCTGAGTTTATGCAGCGTGGGGCTCATTTTTCTCTTTGCTGGTAAAGTCCTGAACTGATACATCTCCCTGCCAGGTTCTCTTGTTTGGCTCTCTATCATATTTCACAGTTGTTTGTAGGATCTCCTGGTCATGTGCCAGCTTTTCTCTCTGTTTTCACCTCTCTGCCCTTTCTATAGTCTATGAAGTGTTTACTGAAAGTCACAGTGACCTAACTGACAGAATGTACTGTTGGGCTTGAGTGTTCAGAAACACACCTTCACTTGTAATTACCTTCATCTTGTCGTGCCAGCAGTATATTTTGGCAATTAATCAACAGCTTAACTCTAAACTGAAATAGGCCAAAACATATTCAAGCAATAGCTCTAACAGTTAACTGTTTTACACAAGGAGAAATATATTAATGTTCTGTCTGTTCCAGTTTTCAGCCAAGCTAATCCACTTTTAAATATACTTAACTCTTTTCCTTTCTCTTCGGGTCACACCCTATAAATTAATGCCAGCCATTATTCATAAATTACAGCCAGAGCCGGGTTTTTGCAATGACCAAGAATTGACAAAAATTGGAGTGGTTCAACTGAATTTAATACATAACTGCTAAAAGTTTTCTTATCGAGGGTTACAATGCTCATGGGTTTAAATGTTAGATCAGTGCTCTCCTTCATTTTGTTGTGTTAAGTGTTATTTTTTTGCATGGAGTTTGCATGTTCTCCCAATTTAATCATACTTATCTTGCAATACTAGATAGATACCGGCCCCTTGTGACACAAATAGAACAAAAGGGTATAACCAAGGTATGATGTCTTAGTAGATTTGTATTTCTTCCACTTTATTTAGGTTTTTATTATGAGCCAGGGCAGACAACCTTACCTCAGTAATGGCAACCCTACGACCCCTATCCAACCACCAACACCCCCATACTATACCCATGCATGGATGGCAATAAAATGCTTAGTTGGTCTCAGATGAACACAACCCCAATGCTGGCATTATTTGGCTATTAAGACCACAACTTGTTTTGAAATTCCCTTGGGATACCTGCCTGTTGTCCACTGTGAGTTTGAAACAAGACATCTCCAAATTTCAGTTTATGCTATTGGTTTATGTTGCATGCTATAGATCAGACAAATGGGAAGTTTCTTTATCTTTATATCTTTATATCAACTAATACAACAATGAGGTCTTTGTTTTCCTTACTCTGTCATCTATAACCTTAAAATGTAGGAGAAAAAAACTAGACTGTTACATATCTATTTTAAGAGTCGTTTAAAGTTACAAAGAAGAAATTCTGCACTTTGGTAAAAGGAAACAGAAGGACAAAAGGGAATATTAGGCAATAACACAGTGAAAAATCAAAAGGTGTTTTAATTTTTTACATACTGCCTTTCTGTTTCCAAGCATAATTCTAATACAGTCTCCAGAAGGAGCCTTTCTTTATGGCTTATAAAATATTTCTGCACCAAACCAAGGGGCTAAATCCTCGTGAGGTTTCTGGTTGCGTTGTTTAGCCGCTAGGCGTTGGCATGTGCAGGAACTGGATACCTCAGCATGCGTGTGTCTAAGAGGTGCTGAAAAGCCCTAGTTGCTGCTGTGTTGCCTGGGACAGACAGCCCGGTATTCAGCTCTAAGTACTGGGTATCAGTTTATCCAGAGAAGGCATTGTTAGCCTTTGTTGTAGTTGCTGTGCACCATGTTTTGCAGCTGTTTTTGTTTCTATATGATCATTCACAAGAAGTACTCACACTTGAGTTTGAAACAAATGTTTCACTACATGGAACAACATCGCTCAATAACAAAATCAAAACCAAATCTTTGTTTGACTTTATGCAGTTTAAAGTGAATCACTCTCTTTGATCAAACATGAATAATGAATGAAGGCAAGCTGCTTAAGCGCCTTGTTTCCAACGCCTGACATAAAAGCTGGACCCTGAAACCTTTTGTCAGCAGGCATGTAGCTCTAGTTTCTTACATGATGATTCATACATTCAGATACAGGTGAAACACAAGGTTCTAACCTATAGTAACAGCTCATGCATCTAACTCTATTTTAAAGTAATGTACCGTGATCTCTATTGTTTTTTCTTAAAGGACAAAGGTGCCAACTGCATTTAGACAGCTGACACCAGACACTCCTGTGAGGATTTTTTAAACAGTTAGCAGATTATAGCACCTCTGCCGATTTTTATTGTTTTTTTTTTAATAGGACAAATAAATAGAAAAAGAAAACAGTTAGCAAAAATTACAAGGTTGCACATCATACTAGGATGCACAAACAAACCATTCCAATGATAAACAGTGTTTGTGTACATTTAGATATTCACGGCATTTATCTACAGTTATAAAATAATTCTGGCTTACACACTTTGAAATATATGTTCATAAAATGGAAGGATTTAATAAATAGATAATTTTATGATAAGATCACATGGATGTGGGAAGAGGGTTATTTGTATAAATAAGAAGAAAGTAAGTCAACCCCCAAAACCATTAATCTAAAAACGATAAAGCGTAAGATTCCCTAAAACTAATCAGAAAGTGAAAAATAACCAGAAATATATTTTTTCTAACCTACTAAGCTTTTAATTTGAAGTAAGATTTTGCTCTTACTTAAGTAAACATGACTTTGATTCTGTAGAGCAATTTTTAATTGATAGATATTAAAATGCTGTTTAATATCAAACTAAGAATGGATGTAATCACAAATTATTACAGAATTCAGAAAAAAAGTCTATTCCAAAGTCACAGGGATAAGGGAAAGTTTAAGATATATTTTAAGCTGTTTAAAGGTTTAACTTATTTTTTAATCTCCTGGTCCTTCTGGGGCCTAATGAAATTTATTTTATGGCAATAAGGTTCTGTTAACTAAAATTAATTTCATGGAGAGGCTTTGAGAGAAGATTAAGAGGAGGAATTCAAAGTTTTGGAGCCTCCTCTGGGTCTGAGGCTTGTGACATCAATACTGCCTTTGTGAAACAGAAACAGTTTGAATTAAAGTGACCTGAATGTTGGCTCACACATTGAAATGACTCAGACTTGTTTTTAAATGGGACCCTGGGATTTGTTTGTGCGGTTAACTGATGGGGAAGACTCGTGAGAAAAGCCTTTGTTCCAGGTAAAAGGTCACCCAGAGTGTAAGGCTGTTGCCTCTAGATTAGTTTGTTGGATGGACATAAACACACCCTTACACTTGGCCATTACCATTTAGATTATGCTCTCGAAATTATTTAGGAAAAATGATCATTCACACAGTACCTCCGAAGACACCATAGCATGTATGCAATCAGATTCTTTGTATGCCCTCATCTCATCTCTTTTAAAAGTGTTTCTGTAGATTTCTATTTAATCGTGTCATTGATTTTTTAAGAGTAAGCCATCTTCAATCTGGATCATGTGCAAGCTGTTGCTCTGTCCCAAGTAATGTCCCATCCACCGTTCTCTTACTATGAGGTAAGGATGTTGTATTGCTTCTGTCCACAGATACCTGGCATGCCAGTGTGCCTCACAGGTCTCTCTATTTCTCTTTATTGTTTCAGAGCCCACAATGACATCCTCCACAACATGGTAAACAGGCAGCTCCAATACATTCCCTCTCAAGGGCTGATTATGCTTCCTGCAGCAGTGTGTCAAGATGAGCTTGTAGCAGATATTTTTGATTTATTCCCAATATTGACGCGTGGTCTGCCCTGCGTTATTCCACGCAAGAGGGACAAGTATGAACTAGCTGTGGGTGTAGATGCGGCTTAGGCGTTAAGGAAGTGAGGGCAAGTTTTTACGACAATGGAGAGACAGGATGGCGAAACCGGCGTTCTTACGCACCTCGCTCTTCTAGCTAGTCCAACATCACGAGTTGTTTTCCGCAATGGCGGTCATACAAACAAAACAAGCCGGTAAGATACCAAACAGGAAATACACATGGTGTAGAGCAGATGTAGATTTGACCAATCAGAGGCCTCCTGCGGCACTGTATGCGGTCACCTACAAATTTGGAGAGGTGCAGCAGAGTGTCTGCGGCACGGGCGGGGGCACATTTGCATTTACTGAGACACACACAGACGACCTGGTTTATGAGTAAAAATTAGTCTTCACAGCCCTTTAGGAACTATCTGGTGCTGGTGACTGTATTGGACTGGGTGCCAGGAAAAGTGGAGGACTGGTAGGACACTGGATCTATCATCTCAGTCTGCACTACCTGACTACTGCAGTTCTCACAGATCTTCAGAAGTGTGTCTTTGTTGTGTGGATGATTAAGGGGGTTCATTAAAGACGTCTAGTTGTATGTATAATAAAGACTTTTTCCAAACTGGTTTTCCAGGACTTGGAAGTTCTCATCTGATGAGCTGTGCATTGCAACCATATGTCTTTGTCAACCATCTTGTTGAGGCTAGAAAGCAGCTGAAATTTCTTCACTCGACTCTAGCAAATTAGTTCTCCTCACTTCTGCAGAGCTGCAGTCTTTTCTCCATCTGTTGTATTCTCGCATGTTAGCAGCAAATGTTGATGAAACTGTAGCTTTTAGCTTTATTACTGTTACTGGTGCTGAGCTAATAACTAAGATGAGCTGCTTAGGTATTACACCTATAGCTATACTGCACAGCAGTCATTTGGCAGGTGGAGCCAAGAGGTATAAGTTCTACTGCCGTTTTTGCACTGGTTCACCAGGATTTTTTTAAAAGCATAAATCAGCATAAATCCTTTTTCTTCCAGACTTGTATATGGAAACCTAACATAAAATTTGTAGAGCCAGCTACAGTTCAATTTCTCTGTACCGGATATGGCCCACAGTGACTCTTGGATTTGGAGTTTAACTTCTTAAGCTTCTGTTCACATTCTTTCTCCTTCCTCTCTGTGTATATTTACAGTAGGCTTTTAAGCCCCTCAGCAGCAGCTGCCCTGCACTCTGCCATATAACCAGACTTCACATTGTTTACCTCCATAACTTTGGAGCCCTCTAGTGCAAGCATTGAGCGGCCTTCTCTTCACTCCTTTCTAGGCATCTCTGTGTGGATCCTTGTGCTATTTCTTAGATGGGAGAAATGTCTTTTAACTGTGGTATTTTCCACTTTCAGTTCCTTTTTTTAAAAATTTTTACATTTTTCCACTGACCAACGGCAGTCTTTGCTTTTCGGGCCTTAGATAAAGGTTTCCCCTTTTCTGTGACCTCAAGTGGAGTCTCTGTTGGTCAGTTGTTTGATTTAAACTTTTAACGGTCATTCTGAAGGGTGTTGCAGGCAGCAGATTGGTCTCCACGGTGTCTCCACACTCTCAGTTTGAACCTGCTGTCCTCTGTGAAGAGAACAGGGGGCCAGTGTTAAATTTGCCAGGTCTAGTGTAGCACAACCCCCATCTGTGGATATCAGGCTCTCATACCATCCTCATTAAGTCGTTTTCTAACCATTTGTGCAGACATATGCACATTTGTGACCTCCTGTATCATCATCCTCATTTTGTAGGGCTCTGGTAGTGCTCCAGTGCAGAGGTAGTGGTCCTGCTGCTGGGTTGTTGCCCTCCTACAGCCTCCTCTCCTGGTGTACTGGCCTTTCTCATGGTAGTTCCTTCAGCCTGTGGACATTACTTTGGCAGACACAGCAAACCTTCTTTCATCAGTTTGCATTTTTGTGCCATTCTGGATGAGCTTCACTACCTGAGCCAAAAGCATGAAAGCACCAACAACATTCAAAAGTGACCAAAACATCTGCCAGAAAGCATCGGCACTGAGAACTTGTTTATGGTCCCCACCTGTAAAACCAACAGTCTGTCTTGCTAATTGTCAATATTTTTTGTCTATTCCATTTGCAGCATGTGAAATTGATTGTCAATTAGTGTTGCTTCCCAAGTGTGTGGTTTGATTTCACAGAAGTTTGATTTAATTAAAGTTATATTGTGTTGTTTGTGTGTTCCCTTTATAAAAAAAGCTGTTTAACAGATTGCTTCACTTCTATATAAGTATATTTTAAGAATCTGTCTGAGGCTGTTTTTTATATTTATTAACATCCCTTTTATACTATAATGGGGCTTTCCTTATATTTTCAGTTTTTCAGGTCAAATAGCCATGATAAACTATCATGTTAGTGTTTAGTACAACACAATGCCCTTTTACTAACCACATTAACTACAAAACTACAATTAAATTATATTTTCCCTCTGATTTGGTCTTCCATGTTACTTTATGTTTCCTGGTATACAAATCTTGAACATCTGTTCATCAAATTTTCCATATGCTTTACTAGCGTCATCATTAAATTCATGGTTGGATGCTCTAACCTACCCCAGTTGACTGCACCTCCACCCCACCCCACCCCTCACCTACAGGGCTTTAAATGATTGTGCAAACGTAACTTGGTGTACAGACTCCATAGGGAGTCTGTACACCAAGTTATGCTCCACATGACAGCAGCTTTGTGAAACTAGGTGTGATAGAATCTTAAACTCCAGCTCTTACAATAAGCAAATTGCTAAGGATCCTAATATGGCTTTGTTTGATTATTTTAGTGGACCAACAGGACTCCTTCCTCATGCGGGATGTCGAGGCATCGGGTCTATAGTCATTTTAGATGGATGGCTGAGTTGTGATTGGTAGCAGAACATGTTTTTTAAAACATCAAAACTTCTCCTGGGTAAGGCTAAGAGCTGGAACTAAGACAATATAAGAATCTTTAAAATGTTGGTAACAAATATGGAGAAGCAGAATGGTCCATTACCAGGGTGGAATAGAAAAAGCATTTCAGGGGTGACTAGATGACTGGATGTTAAATAATTTGGAAAGCATAAATAGACTGGTTTATTATGTCTCCTAGTTACCCTCGTCTCAGTCAATTAAGTAAGAATGGAATGCGCCTTTCAAACAAGTGGTCTTTCTCCCAGGCCCCACCTCCGAGGAGTGGTTCCCAACCTCTTGATACTATTTTTCACAGCACACATCTAGAGAAGATTAGAGCCCATCTCCCTATTGATTAGTTATTTGGGCAGTAAAAATGGACCGACACAATTAAGACGGTGCTTATACTGTTATGGCGGATCAGTTTATATTTTCCCAACCCTTCATATTTATAACCCTTCATATATACCATTTGAATAAATGACATAACTGAGGTAAAATAAAGCAACCACCTGAACTTCACCTCTACTCATCTTCAAATTTTTTCTAAGGATATTTCATTTTTTTATGTTTATCTACTGAGGGAATTAAACTTAAAGGATGCTTTTTCTTCATTTTGATTATATTTTTTTCTGTCTGTGTGTTCTGTCTGTCTGTCAATTCATCTTGGTTTCAAAATGAAATAAAAAATTCTTGAATCGCTGCAACAGTTACAGAGTAACACTTAGTGATTAGCCACAAAAAAGGTTTTAACTGGAAAGCAATTTGACTTCATTCAGTTGTCTTTCTGAAGACATCTTCCGAAAAAAAAAAGAGCGAAAGTTGCCTTAGAGTTGAAGCCTGTTTTGTGGTTACCATGATCTGGATGACTGGGAATTTACACAGGCATTTAATAATAAGCTTTAACAAACACACAACATAATATGTGTAGTGTTTCTCTTAATGAGAGATTGTGTCTGGATAATGAATAGCTGAGAGTCATGCACTTTAAAATGTCATATTATGTGCTTTCTCTCTTAATGGCTGAAGGCAAAACAATCAAAAAGTTGCCCATGGTACCTCTAGAGGGCAGCATTTTCTCTTCCTTTTTTGCCTTCATCCCTTAGTGTTTAGAAAACCTATAAAATATTGATCACTGACTTACCTTTTTCGTTTTCAGTAAAACCCTTAAATACAGGGACTGCGTTTAGAAAATTAACTCCACCTTCTTACAGTAATTCTACAGTTTTTTTGAGTAAAACCAGGGCATGACTTAAACATGTACCTCCCAACAGCAGGGTGTTCTCTTATGCCAGGGCAGCCCCGTTGGATAAGCTCCAGGTCCCACAGCGCTCTTCTGTTAATTACAAGCTGGTAAGTACAGTGCAAGCCTGTAAGACTCCTCTACCGTACTCCTGTGGGCATGCTGCTGATAAACAACACATAGGCACACACTCCTCCTCACTCCTCTCTAACAATAACAACAACTGTAGTGTACGTAGTGGTGGCCACCTGCCCCAGAACTGTGTTTCTTGCTTCAGCAGCTCAACCCCATCTGTCTATCCATGATTGCCCCGGTTCCTGGAAAGTGGAGCTGCAGAGTGCTGCAGAGAACTACTAGATCAAAGCAATACTAATGACTATAGCAGAGGTGAAGCCTAATGTTCCTCCTCACAATGCAGAAAAGTTATACACATGTTCACTACATATGGTGTAGATCAGAGTAGAGGGAGGAACTCACGCAGCTAACGACCCAAATGTATTAAAAAGCCCAGGGGTTTACCATAGCTTAATTAACGATCATGCGTTTTGTTTACTTGTGTTTGTAATAAAAAATGCATTTCTAACAACAGTCTATATATTTTTCTAATTATATCAAACCATATATTCGTATCTTGACACAAAAATTACTCAATAAAAGCAATCTTCATGAATCTTTTCACATTAACAACTTTTTTCCAACTTCCCTTTTGTCTTCTCCTCTCTATAATTCTCCTACACCTTCATCTCCCCACCTTCTTCTATCTAATTTTCTAATAAAGAACGCTTCTAATAGAACACCCTGTTCTTTCTTTCAAACTGCATGGATCATATAGAGTGCACTTGAAGGGAAGAAGAGGCTGAAGACGCCAGGAGGCGTTTGAAAATGTCCTTCACAGTCCCCCAAGCTACAAAGACGCTGGCTCTCCTAAAAATATCAACAAACGGGGCTTTGATATATTCGTGGCATTTTGTTTCAGCGCAGATGCTTTTGGGCTACAATTAGATCATCAAATCATTTGCAGACCAAATACAACACTGATTTTGATGGGAAGTAAGAAAGGCATAAAAAAAACATAAAAAAAACCAACTCTGAATACAAATAGCAAAAACAGACACAACAAAAACAACCCAAACACAGTTTCAGTTGATTAATTATTGGTTTCATTATTGATTTTACTTGTTATTGGTTATGATCATTTGGAAGTATACTTATGTCTTGTTTTACATGTTTTTTGAGCGTAGATTGTCCTTTTTGTTGTAAAGTGCAGGTAATACTACTTTTAAATCCAAACGTTACATACAATATGTAGTACATGTGTTCTTTCTCAATTATTCTTCATAATTATTTACAATATTGTTCTACATTTCATTTCACAGAAAGAAAAATCATATCCACTGTATCAGCATTGTTGGCCTCTATGATACAGGAGAGCAGAGGTGAGGTGAACAGCTGTACATGTTGTTTTTAGTGGATGTCATACTATCAGGCTCTGGGTTGAAAAGAAAAAAGAAAGGACAATGATTCTCAAACACACACTTTTGTACACAGTTTGCATATTGGTCATCTTGCTTCTCGTATGGTTGAGATGTATTGGGGTGGCCTTGCTGCAAAGAGCTGACATGGAAGTTCAAACAAACCCAAGGAGTTAAATTTCTCCCTTCAGTTAAGCTTTAGCCACGTCTACTGGTTTCCTTCTAAAAAGCTCAGTCAGCTCTTTGAATCAGCAGGGAATGATGGAGGCTAAAACATTAAATACATCTTTACTCAAACCTTCCATTTTCATATAAACTACAAGCTTATAATCAATCTCTGCATAGATCTTTCGGCATATTCACTGCAGTTCACTCTACTCATTGGGTTTGCTGGTGGCTCCCTCAGTGTTTGGGAAACAAAATATTCCAAAATCAACTGTATTCTTGTTTTTGTGCTTTAAGCTGAAATTATTGAGGATGTTCAACAACTATGTTGTGGTTTTCAGTGCATGAGTTGCTACAGTGAGTCAGGCTGAAGCACAGTAACACACCTATGACAGTACAGGTAAATGTTAAGGTGCAAACACTGATCATAGTGTCATACAGAAAACAAATGAAGACAGAAAATATGATGCATTTGCATACATAGACAAATATTTTTGGTCAGACTGTGAGTTTCTCCCAACATATACATATATGCAAATTGCGGTTTCATAAATGGAACTATAGAACCAGACTATGATATTGACATCCAGGGTTTTTCTCACTGCCTGTTACATGTGTACATTCCTGCTCCTAGAGCATTGGTATGCCTAAAACAGTAACCAGGAAAAATAGATTTCAACAGAATGGGAGAGGTCTATTTGAATAAATATTTCCTTAGAGAACCATTCATTTATATGATACAGTGGTCCACTAAGGTAGAATGAGCGTATTGCTAAGAAAAAGCTACTTAAGCAGTAAGCAGTATTTTAATATCTATATTTGCCTAGAATTGCTCACAAAATTAGATTAAAAACAAATCTTTTAAAACCCATAATTTGGACAGAGACAACTATAGCCTCAAGTCAGGCAGTTGGATGATGCATCCTGAGTATATATTGGCAGCGTTGGTGTTGATATATTCTGCTACTGCAGGCTGAGACTGTAGTAACGAAAAGAAAAACCCTTTCAATAAGTTATTAATCCTGCATTTAAAGAACCCATCAGTACAGTTCATGCTACACACCATCTCCTCAGCAATAATCTCTTGTAACTGTGCTGAACATCTTTAAAAAAAAGTATAATGACAAAGAGATATACAGTAGGGGCTTAGTCGGACCATAATTAGATCAGACAATGTCTACTGCACTGCTGCTAATTATCACCTCCCATACTGATGTTACTGCCTTTGACTGTTACCTTGGCAGTGTTTAGCGAACTGTGGGAAGTCTTAGCTGTGCGCAGTCTGAGAACTTTACTCCTGGCCTTGGCCAACCTTTAAGGAAACAGTGTATTAATCTTGTGGCATAAGAGATGTTTTAAGGGACATTTAGACCTCACCGATATTATGAAGGAGCCAATATTATAAAGGTTTTATGATAAGAAAGTCAGCTTAGAGTTTAAAGATACCTGGTGGTGAACAGTTGCTTTATGGAGGGGGGTTAAATGAGACATATGTCTCAGTTAAGATAAACGTTATGTGTCATTTTTCCTAAAACCTTTTCAGGCAAGAAAACTTCCTAAGATGCCAAGGGAGAGTGTCTTTGGCACTCAGAAAAGGAATAACTGCTATTTTTAAAATAACCTTGTAAGAGCTGCACACTGTTCAAAATCTTATGCTTACTTTTGTTTTAGGATCTCAGATAAAAAAATTTGTGTGCTATATATGTGATCTGTATTTAAAGATATATTGTTTTATATATATTACTAATAAATATAACTATTGCTTTCTTTTATTGTATTCTTTTAGTTTCTTCCTTTTTTTAGCTTACATGCATGCTATAAATGTTTCAAGGTCATGCAACACCAGGTGAACGGCATAAACCCAGACAATAGGCAGGTAAAGCATTAGTTTAAAAAACACAACTCCTTAGTAGTTGCTACTTTGATATGGACGCACCTGTGAAACAGACACAGCTGCAGGACATTAAACTCTGAATAGATGCAAAAGCAGGATGTGAGTTTATGTCTCCAATTACAGCTCAGTTTACAGCAGCCTGGCAATAATTTAATTTCTGGAATGTAAATATCTATAAGATTCTTGTTATCTGTAGAAAATGAACTCATTATTAACCAGTTAAAAGTTCTTAAACCTACAGTTTTAGGTAAATAGCTACCTGCAGGCATCCTTTAAAAATGTGAAGGCAGTGAACAGACAAATATACAGTGGCTAGGTGAAGCAAGTGGCAGTCGAGAAACTAGAAACTTCTCATTGAGATAAAAAGGTCATGCAGTAATCTACTAACTAGAGTTTCTTCTTACCTACTGTACCAATCAGATATCAGTTAAGTCACAGTTAAGCTACCTATCTATATGGATACACACTATAAGAGTGAAACAGTGAAATACTTAACAAGTAGAAACATTCATTATGTCTCAAAGCTCTGCACTAAGACCAGTTTGGGTGAATGGAGTTGGGAATTCTTGCATTGCAATACATACAGTAAATATAAGACAAAAGCAGTGAAAATTCAAGGCCATTGTCAGTCATTCATCAGATACTGATGTCTGCAGGGGAAAAGGGTGTCAAACCATAAGCTTAGAGCTGATGGCTGTCATACATCCCTAACATGGTGTACTTAACCATCAGCCTCGTCAAAAGTCACCCAGAGGCCATATAAGCTTTGGAATGGGCTTAATATTTGCTCCCATCCTTTTATCTCTAAATATTGAAGCATACTGTAGAACGGTTTTGTTTCATTAGCTCCATAAAACAGCATATGTAGTTCACAACAGACCCTTAGAAAGTGCGCACAGGTGGTTGCCATCGGGGATGACGGATAAATGAGCAGGGCTCAAAAGCTTTAGGTTTGGGTTGGCTTTTGTATTTTTCCTGCGTGTACAGCTACTATCTACAGTGGTAAGCAGGACAGTTTTAGATATTGTCAATTTTTATAGCAGCTGATCAGACATTGAAAACTTCATGCAGCAAATAAAAAAATGTAGAAACTTAAACAAGATAATTAAAGTAAGACTTCACTGGTGCAAAGGGAAGAAATGGCATTTAAATTATTTTTCACTCAATCGTCACTGATATTCTGTATTCTGCTGTCTTAATTTCCCATCACTCTTGTGGTACGGTTTATATTTGTGTCCCATCCAGCTGTAAAGTTTCATATTTCCCACTGTGAGTGGGAGGAACGCATGTAGGCTACACATCTGTGAGCATTTTGGTGATGTTAACATAGTTTGTGTTGGCGAGTGTACAGTTGGCTGTTTTAAGGTTCTCCTCCTGAAAGTCCTCATTGCTGTTGTTGACAGCCTCCTGAATCTCCATATAGTCTGATTTACTGATGGTGGAGCCGCTCCGGCTCTTCTTTAGCTCCTCAGCTGAATCAGCTTTGGTCACATTGACCTGCAGATACTGAGCCTGCTCCTCGCCTTCAGTTTCACGATGGTAAAAGTAGTTGAAGTTGGATACAATAACAGGCACTGGCAAGGCAATGGTCAGCACACCTGCAATGGCACAGAGGGAGCCCACAATCTTTCCACCAATTGTAGTAGGGACCATATCACCATAGCCGACTGTTGTCATGGACACCACAGCCCACCAAAATGCATCTGGGATGCTTTCAAACTGTGACTCGGGCTCATCTGCTTCAGCAAAGTAAACTGCACTTGAAAACAGGATGACCCCTATGAAAAGGAAGAATATGAGGAGGCCGAGTTCTCTCATACTGGCTTTAAGTGTCTGACCTAAAATTTGAAGCCCCTTGGAGTGACGGGACAGCTTGAAGATTCTGAAGACTCGTACCAAACGGATGACCCTGAGAATGGCTAAAGACATGGCTTGTTGACCTGGCTGACCATCCTCTGCCCTATCTGCTAGCTCGGTGCCTAAAGTGATAAAGTAAGGAATGATGGCAACAATATCAATTATGTTCATTATGTTACCAAAAAAGCCCGCTTTGCTTGGGCAGGCGAAGAAGCGCACTAAAAATTCAAAGGAGAACCATATAATACAAAGAGTTTCTAGGACAAAGAAGGGGTCAGTGAAATAATTGGATGTATAGCTAATTACTGTAGAGTTGGTCTCAGGTGAAAAAAATTGAGCTTGGGATTTGTGCATTTCATCCTCATCATTACGAAATATGGGAAGAGTCTCCAAGCAGAAACTGACAATAGATATAAGGATGACCATGACGGAAATTATGGCAATAATCCTAGCAGGACCTGAGCTCTCTGGGTACTCAAAGAGAAGCCACACCTGTCTCTGGAACTCATTTTCAGGAAGAGGCCTTTCCTCCTCCTTGATAAAACCTTCATCTTCTCTGAACATCTCAATGGCCTCCTCACCAAGCTCATAAAAGCGAATCTCCTCCGAAAAAATATCAAGAGTGACGTTGACCGGCCTTCTCAGTCGACCGCCTGATTGATAATAATACAATATGGCATCAAAGCTTGGTCTGTTTCTGTCAAAAAAGTACTCGTTCCGTAGCGGGTCAAAATAGCGCATCCTCTTTTTGGGGTCTCCCAGCAGGGTTTCTGGGAACTGAGAGAGAGTCTTGAGTTGGGTCTCAAAGCGCAACCCTGAGATGTTAATGACCACCCTCTCACAGCATTCATGGTCGGCCTCTGGGTTATAGTCCAGAGGGTGCCCTGGGTGTGCAGCTGCCTCGTCAGAGGGGTCGCCTGCGGCAACAGTCATTCTGCAGGGCAAAGACGCCTGCACCTTTCAGGATGTTAGTGTCCTGCAGTCTTGAGAACTGCAGGTGGTGGCCAGGGCAGCGTGAGGACTCAACAGAGTGAAGACATGAAGGCCACAAGGTGTCACCTAGGATCTAGCTGCAGGCAGAACAAACAGAGAGAAGTTGCAAGGTCAGAGAAATTTAAGAAATTATTCAACTCTCAATTCTGCTGAGCTCAAACTACAGAAAATAAAAAAAAATAATACCACTCTAACTAACATGCAAATAATCAGAAATTATATTAAAATAGCAAAAATGCTAATTTATTACGTGGGCCATAAGAAAAAAAAACTTCCAGAGGATCACAAATCAGGACACTGATTTTGCTGCAACATCTATATCAGCTACGGAATTGCCACATATGAGAACGCCAATGCAGCAATACAGATATCATCCTACCTAAGATATCTTAAGCTGTGCTATTTAAAAAAATAAATAAATACAAAAATGCTCTATAGTAAGAATGATGTGACTTCAGGTTGTGATGAAGCATTTTGTCTTGAAATGGTGCCTGGTACTGAAATATTCAAAAACATCTATAAATAATTTACCAACAGAAGGAAATTGGCTCTCGGGGAAAAAATACATCTCTGCCTGATTCCAAACCTCTTCTTTAAGTAAAAGATGTTTTGAAAAAAAAAAACACATCATGCAACAAAAACTGCAGGTGTGGCAGTCATGCTCTCAGAGGTGCAAATCCTTACATGAACTACAGTGTGATTAGATTTTACTCTTCATAAATGGGAAGAAAAGAAAAAATAGATGCTGTATTTTAATCTCATACATACCTACAGACATCTTTTCCCTCGCTGGGTGAGGCTGGACGCTCCAGCTGGTGTCAGGGAGGTGGGTATCTATGATCAGCTGCGGCAAACGGGTATCCAGACTCCAGCGCAGGTGGTGGGGAGATGGATTTCCAATTCGGGACAGTCGATTATATTCACCTCATCTCGTCTGCAGCATCCTTCCCATGTACTCCGCTTACAGTATGCGCGGGTGTGTCCTCGCTTTCCCCTCCCAGACTCCTCTCCTCCGGGTAGGATGCTGTGAGGTGGCGATTGGTACAAAAGGGCGGAGGGAGACGTCCAAAGAGGTGCGGGTGCTTCCCTTATTAACCGAAGGTGCTTGGATCAGCAGAATGATCTTCTCTCACCGATTTCCTCCGCGCCGGAGAGATTCTGGCTGCAGCCTCTGCCAGACACCTAGAGATAACGTCCTCAAAAAAGAAAAAAAAAAAAAGTGGACTGATTAAAGTCGTGATCTTCTTGAATACATGCCAAATGAAAAGGTTCAATAACAAGTATTATTGCTGCCAACCTGATATATACATTTTGATAGATCTGTGCCACATAAACCAGCATTTCCATAAGATTCCATAGAAATGCTGAACTGGATCCTTAACGCTCGACACACAAAGAAGCTGCTGAGATCCTTTTTTTTTTTTTTTAACTCTACATGGTGGGCAGAGCGGCGATTTCAGACACTGACTTTAAACGACATGCATGAAAATCTTAGTGGGCTTGAAGATTGCGCAATTTCTCTAAACCAGCGCCCCATGCGCACACGCAACACGGGCACGCACGCAGACACAAAGCGACCCCTATTGCTTACGCACGTGTCAGCACGGTGGGAGGTGATTTGATCTATTTTTTCCCTTTTTAATTAAGCCATGAAAACAGTTGTGGGTGAAATACCCCTGTAGCCAAGCTTGATTTGGTTATTTATTGGCTACTGTATGAAGCTCCGTCCAAACTGCAGTAGGGTACCGCTCTGAATACCAAAAGAGGTGTTGGTCATGGAGCAGGGAATGAGAAATGAGGCGCACTAAAGCAGCACATCCACCTTTTCTGCTGTGGACATATATAGTATTTTAAACATTGGTCCTATCCTGCCAAAGGAGTATCATGAATTTAAACATGCCTTTGTTGAAGTAAGATGTTCTGAACTGAAAATAATCCAAAATGCATGTTTGATACTTTTTTCACTTAATCAAATAACCCCCCCCCTCCTTTTTTTTTTTTTAGCCCAGATGCAGTAAAGTTTTCTTATTATGAAAGTGAAGTAACAACTTCTATTACCTTTCCACTGCTTGTTCATAGCAGCCAATGTTGTAATCTTTCCCTGCAAAGAACTCCATGAATAATGAATGGGAGGGGGGACAAAAATAGAGCAAATGTTCCATCAGTTAGTCTGGCTATTTTCCAAGAGACAAAACAAACTTAATAAACTGAAAATGCTTCTGTCATGATTGATGCTTGTATTGGAAATGCATGCACAATGTCCTGATATGACCACCATGGAACGCACAGGTCAGCGGGGATCTATTGGACAGAATAGGGTTGTTTAAAACCTTTCCAACTTTACACTTGGCAAACCTTTAACTATCCCGGGTGCCAGCTTCATCTTGCTGTCCAACTTGTCTCCTGCTTTTATAGAAGCAGATGCTTTTTATATCTTTAATGTTTTTTGTTGTTGTTTGTTTCTTTTTGGTTGTTAATTAAAGGAAAATTGTCGTGAGACTGTTAGAATGAGTTTTAACTCAGCTTGAATCAAGATCTTGAATTAAGTTAAAATCATTCAGGATTCTAAATCCTTTAACCACATGGAGGAATGAAAATATTGTCAACATTACATGGATAATTAGATGTCACTGATAAACGTCCTTCTAGAACATTTTTTTTTTTGGGAGAATAAAAGGTGGAAATGATTTGAAAATGTTAAGCAATGTCATATGAATGGCTCTTTAAAACAAGGGTGTAAGTTAATATGACTGATTTAATGTATTCTGCATGTGAAGGAGAAACAAGACTTGGAATTGAAAGTTACACTGTGAAAGAGGTGTTAGCATGATGATTTAAATGTGCAAAATTACATTTATTCATAGATAATATGCATCACATTACAACAGAATATTGAGACTTTTTATGAATCCTTACATAAATTCTAAAAAGCTAAAAGCTTGAAAATATTAAGCTCTTTTTTTCGAGAGAAGGTTTATTTTTCAGTTGCACTCAAATTAATTTAAGCTTTAGTTTTCTTATTATGTACTACTGGACCTGATTAAACTGCTGTTCTAAAAATCTTTTAACTTTGCTATCAAACTTATTCAATTCAATTTATTTCTATAGCGCCAATTTACAACACATGTCATCTCAAGGCACTTTACAGTTTACCAGATCATACAGTCAAATTGATTCAAAGTTTTCTATCAAAGAAAAAACAGTTGATTGCATCGACTCAATGACTCGAATGCAATCCCTCACACTAAGCATGCTTGTAGAGACAGTGGAGAGGAAAAACTCCCTTTTAACAGGAAGAAACCTCCAGCAGAACCAGGCTCAGTGTGAGCGGCCATCTGCCGAGGCCGACTGGGGTTCAAGGAGACAGAAGCAGAGATACAATAGGCAACAGTAAACCAGCTCCACAGGCGGCACAGTCCAGGAAACACACAGCCAGGCAGACAAGCTCCGAGCCAGCTCCCATGTCAGAGGATGAAGAGAGCACAGCCAGTCACGGTCAGAGATACAGGACTACACTGAAAAACAGGCCGATCTCCAACATCTATAAACAAAGGTGTTGATGGAAGCAGCACAGCTGATATTTCTCTCCAGGATGGAGTCACAGCCAAACAGGAACAGGCGAACCTACTATCAGAAAAAGCAGAGAGAGCATAAGGTTAGAGATTGAACTAACAGATTCTGCAGAGGGGGAGAATAGAGATAGAATGAAGCAGAATGATGAACTAGGGGTCCCTATGTCCTCCAGAGGTCTAAGCCTATAGAAGCATAACTATAGAGATACAGACAGTCAGGTTCCAGACCTTAATCAGAATTTGTGATACAAACTGATAATTGATTTTTTTCTTATTTTATTTTATTTTTTTAATAAAATCTGACTTGGGTTTTGCTAATATGCAAATAACAATGCCAGTTTGCTATGGGCAATGCTGATAGGAACACATAGTATATACCATACCCGATATTGTATTTTTTTGGTTCATAATTTCTACTTTTAGCAAAGCAATTGTTTGTTTTTAATAAGCTGTACTTATAATTTCCGAGTGTCAAACGTGTTTTTATGAATGAAACTTGACAAGCCTCTGGGTGGTTTTTTTGGTCATGTAGTCCCTTGACTGTGGCCATCATTTTCTGATTCCTTTGCCTCCCTCCTTCTGGATACTGCATTGCAGCAGCTACAGGTTTTCAACAGTCACACATGGTGATATTTATCCCCCCAACACACACTATGTGAAAAAGATGAAATAATAGCTTACTGGATCAAAGAACATAAGGCTTTATGCATTTTTTTCCATGTGCAAATTTTTGACAAAGATGTGCAAATGTTTGATAAAGATTTATAATTACTCTAAACCAGAAATTCTAAATGCATAATCAGGGTAACATATAGACCATATAGTTTGTTTATTTTGGTTTTCTACAGTTTTTCTTTAGACCTTCTACTTATCCTTCAACCATTATGCTTTTCAATTTCTTTCTAAAGCTATAGAAACTATAGATTTATCCTTCTGGGAGATGAGTCATTCCGAAAAACATTACTCAGGAGGCAAGAAACTGAATGGGTCCTGCAAAAGAGGCCAATGTACAAACAGACCAGAAGAGTGGTTCAAATGAGTAAGTTGCAACATGTGCACAGATAGGAAGACGTTACAGCTCATTTTGTCCTTTCTTTGCCCTGGAGGTAGCAGTGCATTTGAGGATGTGATGAGGAGAGTAGAGAGCATAATGCAGAGAAAGAGGAGGTAGAAATACAAAGGGGAGGGCAAGGCTGAGATGTGCTCCTCAGACTGAGGCCCGACGAGGTTAGATCCTGGAAATGAGCCAGACGCTAGAAGAAACTCAAGGACATTGGCCCACTGCAGTGGGCGACCCAGCTGGAGTCATAAACACACGCTGCTGCACCGAGTTCAACATCTGAAATACCTGTAGATTTTTATTATTTATTATGCACGATTATATAACATCCAATGAATTTATCTGAGAGGACGTTTACAGAAATATATATTCAGATTGTGTTCAGCCTTGTAAGCTATGCTGACACCGAAGGGAAGGACGTTCAATCAGAGTCAGTATCATTGTCGCAGGGAGACTTTTCTGCTGCACTGTATGATGGATCTATATAAGTGAGTGAAATTCAAGTCAAGGTAAGTTGGTCCTTTTAAAAACATCTCTTACATTACACTAAAGGTCATCCTAGAAAGAAGACACCTTTGCTCGATGGGGAGAGAGGCGACTGATCTTATTAGAAACAGAGTAGGGATCTGTAAAAGAAGACTTGATGCTTTGAGAGTTTTCCTTTCTGTTAAAGATATGCTGCTTGGAAGAAAGTGTCATAAAAACATTCACAAACTGAAGTATTATGATAAAAGCTTAACTGCATTGAAAAATTATTGTTTGTCTAATGAATGTTTCATATTACCACATGTATTTAGATAATTGACAAAGTTACAGGGTAAACATAAAAATCAGTTTTTAAATTATAATTTCATTCAGAGATGGAATAAAATCATCATCTTTTTGTATTTACTCCAATTATATTTATCAGGTATGAAATTAGGTTAATGTTTTGCAGCATGTGAGAGTAACAAAACAGAACCTATTGACAGAATTAAGCAGCTGAAATAGACTGTGACTTTGTCAGTGTGATAATACAAAGCTCTGATTCATTTTTGTGTGACTAAAGGAACCAGAAGATGTGCCTCAGCAGCATGGATCAGTCTGATATCCAGCCGGCTCTGGGCCCAGCACCCGCTCTGACTCATGGGACACCTGGGGGCAGAGCGAGGCCAGCACATTACGAATGTCCTATGGCCTGACATCAGAAACCCCCACACCCATCTGAATCCCCCCCCTCATTGTTATTAATCTCATCAGAAAAGACAAGCAGGTCTGTGATGATTGTTTCATAAAACCAACTCATCAAATTAGATCATTCTAAGTCAGCAGTGTTACTTCGATGAGTAACTATCTTGCTCCCTCTCAGTGTGTTGCATTGAAGACAATGATTTTTGTGGCAACAAAGAGAGGAAGCTGGGGAGTTTTACCACACCTACTCTATTTCTGCTTCCACTGACATATTTCAGATAAAGTCACAAAACTATCGCAAAGCCCTTCATTTTTTATGCAGCCTCCTACATTTCCTAAAGATGGTTTGTGTTCTTGTGAATCTTAAGACATGGGTTTCCCAAACTGAATTACATTTATAAGCAAAGAGAACTGCCTTGAGATGACATGTGTTGTGAATTGGCACTATATAAATAAACTGAATAGAATTGAACTGTTGGGTGTTTGAACAAACTTTTAGTTTGACCCGTAAGGGAAAGGAGACATGTATCTGTCCTTCATCTCACTGAAAGCCCTCAACAGTGTCCTAATGCAGAAGAATGAATCTTAAGAATAGCCCCAAGGATTCAATTACATGCTCTGGGAAGAGCAGATGCGTGGCACCAAGCGAAATAAGTGAAACATATTCTATTTTTGGGAAGACAGAGGTACAGTTTTAGGGCAAACATTATACCACTTGAAATATCACCCGAGAAGAGTTTGGTAAATAAGTGCACCAGAAGCAGACTCAGACATTTCTTTATTTCCTTTAGCAGTTTATTATCATCACGCTTCATTAAAGCTCAATGATGACAGGAGGCACCTCGCATGGCATACCCACCCCATGCTGTCCTTTTGGGTGTCATTAAAGACAACACACTGCTGCAATGCATGAATCATCACATGTGATGAGTGTTAGCATTAAGACCAGCACACCAGGGGGCCTAGTACAGCAGGGACGCCTGGGGTCTTGACTATATCTTCTCTATGAATCCAGACTGAGCAGGACCCAAAATTTGTGTCCAACATTTGCCTGCAGCAGAAGACCAGCTGCAGAGAGTCTCGGTCTAGTTTGTTTTGCTGATGCCAGCCCATACATGTTCGCTTCGCCATACATTTCTCTGTTTAACAGGCGCCTGCAGCAGTGTTCAGTGAGGCACAAGAAAAGTCTTATATCTGCACTGCACTCACATAAACGCTGCATGCACGCTCACACACATAAAGCATGGTGACAGAATTGCATATGTTGCTACAATGTAAAACAGTCAAGCGTAAATTAAGAACACAAGAGGACATACAGCTTTTAATTTGTCTATCTTTACACTGCATTTAACACGCTGAATTACTTTTTTTTATTTTAAATCTTTAGTGACAAGTTTTCTCATGTAACCAAGGAAATATGAGTGTATAGTGCCCAGTGATCATAGTAAAAAAAAAAAAAGCCTGTGAGTAAGAATATGAGTTTGGATACAAAGGCTCAGATTTTCATATTCTAAAAAAATTTCAAGATGCTTGCTTTTGTCAATAGTTTTCAATATTTAGGTTAACATGGTAAGATCTGCCATTTGATGAGTCTGAAACTTGATGAATTAATTAAAAGAACCTTCATTCCCCAACAATATATTTCATATTCATTTAAAGCTTTACAATTTCTATCAATAATTCAGTGTCTCTTCCCACTTATCTTTACAGGGTTGCAAGGGGGGAGCTGAAGAACAGCTTGAACAGGTGGCCAGTCTATCTATCACAGGGCAACATGGAGGCACACAGGGCACACAACATGGTTAAAAAGTTAATCTGTTTCAATTATTCATTTCAAAAGTTGGAATGCTGATTGATTACTCACAAAGGCTTTGATTATGTTGGTTTATAGATAATAAAAATAATTTTTTACTCAGAAACATAAAATATGAAAAACTAATAAAAATAGTTATTATTAGAGAGATGCTGTTTGATGGTTGTATTGTAACCAGCAATATCAGAGTCCTGACTCGACACTTTTTGATCAGGCAGTCACTGACCTCCATCGCAAGAACGGTGATAAGGCCTTGAACATGGCTGGTGTAATGAATGCTGATGGAAAATTTATTGAAAATGTGGTAAAGTCACAACATATGAACCTATACAGGACTTAGGATACAGTTGTATTCATGAAGAGGAAATAAAAGTATTGGTGGTTTACAGAAAAAAAAACAAGAATGTTACTAGTCAAAAGTCTCTTTCCAGATAAAGGTACATTTTTGCATTTTGCAGTGGATGGCCACTGTTGAAATAATGTGACCCATATAACATCTCAGATGAGCCACAGGCTCATTTCCCTTAATGAAATGCAACACTGATGCAGTAAATTAATCCAAAGGGGGCTTCAACCAAGTAAGGAGCGTAAATATTTTACCTGGACATTCTTTCTTGTATGCTAAAACCTCTGGACTAAAATAACTTTTTATTGCTCTTCACAGAATTTTCATGTTTTAATAGAATTTGATTTTCACTATTTATTAGCTGTATGTGATAATCATCAGAACTACAGAAGTGAAGACCTGAAGTAAAATATGTTTCTTCAAATATACATTAGTGATATTTCAATCTATATTCCTAACGAACTGTTATATAAAACCAGAATCTCGTATAATTAATATCTTTTAACATACAGGTATTCCTCCTTTAACTTAATTACTTAAATGAATAGGACTTTGATGATAATCTTATTTTGTTCCACACACATATCTAAGTGTATTTTTTTAACACGTATCTGTTTGTTGTTGTTTTTTTCAGTAATATAATTTTAGAACAAGAAATTGAAGAAAACAAGTGTGTTCTAATAATTTTCTCTATGACTAACGATGTATTACAGAAGATGTTCTTCATTTGATCTGTTTTATTTGTCTTATGAAACTAATGGGTGTTAATGAAGAAAATAAAATTGAAGCTGCTATAACAACTAAGAGAAAAACAACATTAATCTATAATGATAGCCCATTATATCCTAACAAGTTTACTGCTAATTAAATTGTTGCTTCTCCACAATCAACGACAGAGAAGGATGGTCTAACTTCCATATGTCCCTCGCCAGCACTACTGTTAAGCAAGGCAAGCAATGATTAATGGCTTTGGGCGATTTGCAGCCCCCTTTCATTTTATCTGGTTAAAAATACATTGAATAAGGAATTTAACCCCTGAGGGGCAAATAGAACGAACAGGGGAACTCATCAGCTCTAATGTAGAGCACCTGCAGTTTTGGGACAAATACAAATTGGTTTGCAGGAGGGAGGTCCATTCAGCTCTACAACAGCAACAAAAATAACATCAACCACCCTTTCATAAAAATAAAAAAAAAACACAATTACATTTTGGTAAGAGAACTAGTGTTTCTGTACAGTAAATAACTCTTTTTTGGCTTGTTGTTTATTTACTTTATTTAAATACAAGTTTATTATGTTAAATTAAATGCTGCTTCATAACTTTAAAAATGATAGGAGTTTTTAGATGAGAGATTCTTCAGTAATAATGTAGGATTCAGAAAAGCCATATTGATGAACATTTCTATGCTTTGAAAATCACGCAGCTTTTCTTTTCTTTATTTCCTATACCTTTAGCTCATAAGCTGTATTTCTCCTTGTCTGAAACAGATAATTATGGATCAAACTAAGACCTTTGAGGAAGTGCTTTTGGAGCTTTCTTAATTTTCTTTTAACTGCAATATGGATGTTTTTTCTGCATGCTGCATAAGCAAAGAAAATCACAAAATACACAAATTTCTTCGCATTTTTATTTTTTTTTATCTGAGTAATCATTGTAGATCTTTATGTAGAAAGACTAAATGTCCATTTGGCCTAATGATGCCAAAATCACGTTATGAACACAATAAATCAGTGACACCATGTTTTTATTATTAGGATTTTGTTTTCATGTGTTGATTTTCCTGTGAAGTTAAGTGAAGCTGTGTTCAACGTGGAAAATAAATCTGTTTTTTTTTTTTTTTAAGTTTTGTTGTAAAAAAATAATTAAATAAAATAAAATTTGCTGTTCTATCATTTATGTAAGATGTCCAAACAAAATCTCATCTTGATTTGTGGTTGTATGCCATAAAAGAATATAAGAATAGTCACACCAGCGGTCCTAGACATGGCATAATTATCAAAGCTTTTACAATTAAAACGTTAGTTCTCCAGAAATTACACATGGCTGAAAATAAATTAATATGTACAACAGATTCCCCAAGTATAATCGGTTCTAAACAATTTCTATGAGAAAATCTCATCTCATCCTTCCCATTTTTATTTTGTCCTTCGTATAGTAATAATATCTTTTATCCTCTAGATGGCACTAATGAGCTATTATCCAGACATCAAGCATAGGGCTCAGATTGATATCAAGTCAGACTATGACTAAACATAAGGTTTAAAGGCGTTACTGGTTAGACCTTACACCAATAAAAGGTAGATTAGAGGCACATGTACTGTAATAACAAAATATTTTTTAGTAGCTTACTTGATAGTTAATCTAATTAATTTTAATGATGCAAATAAAACTAAAAGACACATTATTTAATCCATATTGACAGATTTACTACTTGTTCCTACATTGAGTTCTAAACCTAAATGTTAATTTGCTCAGGACGTTAACCTGCAGTTCAGATGTTGATCAAAAGACAAACTTTAATTCTTATACAAGCGTTTATGACCCATTAAAGAACATGCAGGTAATTACTTTTCTTACTCCTTTCAGTTTTGCTGTTTGTTTCACCTCATCTGTCAGCTTTAAAGGTAATGTGTCTGCATGTCTTCTTGTGCACATGAAAAGGTGGCTGACGCAAATCAAGTTGGCATGCCAACTTGGAGATCTGACGAGCAGATTTGTGAAAGAAAGAGACCCTTGTGTTTGCATGGAATCTTTTTTGATCAATGTCATGTCAAAAATCATAAACTGTGTTATTGCTAAATGTACTTAAGATTCTCAACACGTATTGCGAAAAACACTAAAAGTTAAATAATACTCCTTTCATTTTTAAGTGACAAAACTGAAATGATGGTCCCATTTCACACTTTTTATATCAGTATATGCAGCTGATCATTTGTTTTCTTTTCAAAGTGTACAAAACTTCTGTTAGTTATTTAATTAGATCGCACCATATAGCTTGGAATCCTAAAGTTCTAAGTTTGAACCCCACTACCACTTGCTCAGAGACTGGGTCTCTGAGCAATACCCTTAACCCCACACTGCTCCCGGGGCACCGCACAATGGCAGCCCACTGTTCCCCAAGTGGATGGGTTAAATGCAGAGGTAAATTGTTCCAATGTGAGATCAATAAAGTTCAATTATTATAATAATTATATGTATATATACATATAAAAATTACAACAAACAAAAAAATGTCAAAACTAAAAAATCTATGAAAAATGTTCTCTGCTTTACTACTCTTAAGAGAAAAATGGTAAATTCTTTAGGGAAAATGTAAAACAAAGCAATGGGAGCATTAGAGTGGGGTTGCCCGGGAAACCACCGTCGTCATGGAGACTGCATCACAAGGCGGATACCGTCTACACGTCCTGCCCCCTTTCATCCAGACTATGTCATCACTGGGCACATGACAACATACACAAGGCCAGGTTGTGCTTTTTTTTTTGTTTATTTTTTCCCCTCTTTCTTTTATTTCCTAATAAAAGTGCAATTAACAAGCAAAGCCGTGATCTATTCATAATTGTATTTATTCAATATAGCCTATATAAGTGTTTCTGAATAAAAATACAGGTTTTTGATTCATGATAAGCCTTCTCGCACTATCTGAACATGACTGCAGAGTCAAACACGTGGACAGGTTATGATATTAGATATAACCTAAACAGGCATTCAGCTAGATAAATCATTATAATATATTTAATAACATTACTGGACAAAATAACTTTTCTGTTCTTTCCACAAAGCACAACACTTTAGGCTTTCTTTTTTCTTTTGGACTTGCAGGAGTAAATGCTACACGTGTATTCAACACTGACAACATTATAGCAAACCAGATATGTAGGCATCATGTGGCATTTTAGACTAAAATGTGACAAATGTGATTTTACCAACAGCTTATAAAGATAGTTTACAGTCAGTCAGATCTATCAGGTCTAAATGGGTACTGTATTGAGGTCTTATGTTAAAGTTAAGTGTTTCATCCTTCAGCCACAGATTTGGACTGACACATCACCAGAGGCTATACAAAAATAATATTACAGACCTAATATTTCTTTATGCTTCATAAATAGTGAATTTTACACATCTGTGAACATCTTTTTGATGTTGACGCAGTTCTGATTTTTCTCTGTAGTAAAGTTGGGCTGCTTGAACGCACAGTTGATGCCTTCTACAATAACCATATAATCGGACTTGCTGAGAGAAGATGAGCTGCACGACTTCATCTGCTCCTCTGGGGGGAGGTGCTCACAGCTGCTTCTGTTGAGGTACTGCTGGTGCTCCTCTCCGTCCGTCTCTCGGTGGTAAAAGTAGTTGAAATTCGACACAATTACTGGCACAGGTAAGGCAATAGTCAACACCCCCGCTATTGCGCAAAGTGACCCCACTATTTTGCCTCCAATGGTTACCGGATGCATGTCTCCGTATCCAACTGTGGTCATTGTGACAACTGCCCACCAGAATGCTTCTGGGATGCTGGTAAAACTAGACGAGGGGTCGTCTGCTTCTGCGAAGTAAACAGCGCTGGAGAAGAGGATGACTCCTATGAAGAGAAAAAAGATGAGCAAGCCAAGCTCCCTCATGCTGGCCTTCAGCGTCTGTCC